ATAAAATATATATTGTAGTACAGTTATTAAAAGTTTTTTTAAAATTGAACATTTGCATATTTACAAGTCTGCTTATGGACCAGTTCCCCATGCTGGCTGGGGAATCCTGGGAATTGAAGTCCATACATCTTAAAGTAACCAGTGAGAAACACTGATCTAGCGTGATTTGGTTGATGACTCAGTCATCCATGTCTATGACTTGTCAGCCAGCCTGGTTTTGGACATGGGTTTAGCACTTTTTCATCTGTTAGAGAATCAGTCTGATAGGTGGCATAACCAGTCATTCAGAGCACTTGCCTACATTTGTTTTTCCCCTCCTACCACATGTTAAGAAGAGTGATTGGTAGTTGTTTTTCCCATTGGCAAGTACTCCTCAGTGGGAGGAGGAACAAAGCCTGGGGAATCCACAAATCACTTCCCTTAACTTGTCCTGCATTAAATCAGTAAGGACAGCACCACTTGCTCACATTATTAAGGCAAAATCTGACTGAACAATGAAAGCCAGCATAATTTACGCCAGCATAATTTTTGCAAGCTCATGGATGGGAGTATTGCACTTCAATGTGGCTGTCTAGCTGTGTTCTCTTTCTCTTAAAGATTATCAGACAGTGTAGCGCAGAATTTTGATCAAATCATCAGTTTAGGATCAACCCTCAAGAAGCAGAACATCAATATTTTTACTGTTTTGCACATAATTGCCCCTATTCCTAACTTAGCCTTGTTTAGCGACAATTGGACCATCTTCTTCATCTCTTCACAAATTTAAAAAAAAAAAAAACTCATGAAGATCAGCTCTGAACATATAGAGATAATTTGCATTTTTTTCCTACGTTTAACCATGGACCAATTAAAAAAAAAAAGCAAACAGAAATTAGATTACACTTACCTCTTTCATGGGATCCTCATTATTCATTGTACTATTCCAACAGTAAAACTCTTGACTCTTCATCCCAACAATGCAGCTCAACTGCCAAGCCATGTTCTTTAGCAGACTTGCTCCAACTCCAGAGAAGTATTCACTAAGAATCCTCTTCTTTAGAGGCACTTTATCAAGCACCAAAGAATCTAAGACCCTCTTAATGGTTGGCATGGCTTCTCTCACATGTTTTTGAAGACCTCTCACCTGCAGCACTAAAGGCTGACTGTTCAGCTGGAGTACAACATTCATGTTGAGATGTTCCCAGTCCATTATATAAAGCAGATTCTTCCCAGCTAAAGCTAATTCTGGTCTAGCAAGACTCACTCTTTCTTCCATTGGGGAATTATCTCTCAAATATTCCTTAATAGATTCTTCTGCTTGAATGACCGGAGGACAGAGGCCAACCACAATCACCCAACCAGGTGCAACATGATGAATGGCTATTTCCTTATGGGTCCCCAACCTTTGCAGCAACTCCTTCCACTCTGTGCACTCAGTAGCCCACTTCAAGTCCTCTGCAATCTCCACCGTCCTTTCACACACTTGCTTCATAAGGATCTCTTTGGCTGCACTCATTTTACCCAAGTCTAGGCCAGAAATCTGGATAACTTGAGAGAGCTCTAAAACAACTGGGATCTTCCTCTCTAAGAAGAAGTTGTTGTAGAACAGTTTGTCCCACTGTACCTTGACAAACTGTAACTGGAAATAGGACAGAGGGACTGGTAGAATCTGGAAGCTGTTGATGAGCTCCATAAGACGCCTTTCTGCTTCCCTGACACTCTGACGGCGTCCCCAGAATCTGATAGTGGCTGGAGTTTTAGCAATAATCTCAAGCTTTATCAAAGGATTGGATGGGAGTATCTCCTGAAGCACAACATCTTTGACAATAGTATAGCGGGGCAGTGGTTCAGCCGAGCACTCTGAGCTTACCAGTTGCCTCTGAGAGGCCTCGTAGGCAAGGCATTGTAAGAAAGAGCTGACCTCATCAAACAGGCCTACAAGCCACATTCTGTCCAGGATGTAGATCCTGATGGATTTGAATCTCTTCATAAGGCTCTGTTGATCACGCAGGACTTCTAGAATTTCTTCACGTCTCTCACAATGCAGTACATACTTTTCCCGCACAAACTGAAAGGCTTTTCCTAAGTCAAGCAGCTGCACAGACTGATTCATGGCCTGGAACATCAACAGTCTCCAATGTAAGTCTATTTGGATGTCATAACCAGCCCTCTTCAGTTGCACTTGAAATTCATTAAAGGCACTTGGGTTCTCATCTAGGTACTGGAGAAAAATTGGGTCCTCCATATGACATAAACCTATTGGCTCTGAAAGAAAGATGGACGTAATGAACGTTGGGCCAGGTTAGTCCCATGAAAGGGATCTAATTTCTCATTTTCCCTGCTCCCTTATGAAATACTTAAGGGGAACATGCCTTTACTAGAGCTGAGGAAGGAGGAAAGACTGAAGTTAACTGGATTTAGTTTCAGGATTTGTGGCCAAAATCAAAGACAGCCTTTTCTGTTATCAAACCATAAGCTAAAAGAATATCTTCTCAACTACATCTTCAAGCCTAAAGCTAAGTGGTGGCTGTTTAATCCTGCTTTACTGAGTTAACTGCAGTTAGCTAGGTTCACCCAACCTAGTTAAGCAAATCATATTGTGGCTTTTTCAAGAAGTAGAGTTTCAAAAGAGTGGACCATGTTTTAACTTTATTGTGTCATCAGCAGAATTCTTCCAGGTTCTGCTAACCAGGCAGCATTCCTAAGATTTGTTTTAGATTTAGATGACATGGTCTGGTTAGGAAGATCAAGTAATACTCTATGAATGACATGGGCAAGGTTAAAATAAACACTGCATGTTTCTTTCTTAGCCGTCTCATTCAGGAGAGGAATCAGCAGGGGTGAAGATAAGTCACTGTTAACTCAAAATTGGTCAAAATGTGTTTTAATCTCATAATGTGGGGGGTGGATTATTTTTGCTTGCTTGCAATACTAAGCAACTTACATCACATTTAATGTTACCATTATAAATGAATCCATACATTTCAGAGTTCAGGTAATTGTAATAAATATATAAATATGGGGTTCCCCCTTTGGGAAATCCAGAAACCCCTGAAAAAAAGCCTAGTGGGGGGGAACATTTTAAAATGCATAAACTTGGGTTAAAACAAGAACTAATAGGAATGCATTGCAACAATAGAGTTGCAGTACAGTTTTACATTGTATCTTATTAGAAATAAGGAAAGCTTCAAACACCAGGCAAAAAAATAAATTTGCAAAAGAACTTTTTTCTCCATCATCAGGGCAATTGAGTTAAAAGCTAGCATGCCTATGCTGACATCTCGTGGATAAACTTGGTAATAATTTATTGTGGGAGTTCCCAGGTTAAGAACACCCGGTTTAAGGACAACTCATATTTAAGAATGGAGCCTTATTGTAGCAAAATTCAAGTTAAATACACAATGGTTTGAGTTAATTATACAATACTACTTATACAGTATTATTGTATACTGTATATGGTTTATGTACTGTATTCTGCTTATGTACAAATTCAACTTGAGGACAGACCTTGGGAACGGAACTGGTTCTTAAACAGGGGACTACCTGTATCAGAATAAGGCACCAGACTAATGGTTTTTGGGGTGGGGTGAATCAGATTCTCCACCTCATTTGGTGGGTTGGGTGACATCAAAAGACAGGGTATAACAGAGTGAGGTCAATCCTTTGATTAAAGCTCTTCCCCTAATATCATTCATTTTGCTTTGCTGGGGCACAAAGAGAACTATTGCTTGCTGAGATCTTTAGGCCAGAAAAGGATTTCATCTAGTACTCTCAAGGCTTTGTACCAAGCACGGCAGGGCATTTTGTGGTATGGGGGGGGGGTCAAAAAAATCAAGATGGCAGCCCCATGGTTAAAACCCTCCCCCTTTTCAATATATGTAAAATTGGAGAGGGTTTGATTACACAGGCACAAGTTCTAGTTGACTTTTTTGATACTCCTGTATACATCTGACCATGGCTATAGAATACTCTTCTTCTTAGCTCCATATTCCCTAATATATAAAAAGAGGTTACACAGGTTGTTTTAAGGCAGGCAGGGCCTGAATCAGTTCAATCCACTGCAAGATTAAGGCCTCTGCGCTGAAGCTTATGGATCATAATCTACCCAGCTATGCAGTTTGGTTTCTGGGCTGAGAGAGGGTGACTGGCCCAAAGTCACGCAGCCGGATTCCATGCCTAAGGGAGAACTAGAACCTGGGTCTCCCCATTCTTAGGTCAGCTCAGTACCTTAACCACTACACCACAATCGATGGATGGATGGAATATATCACATTTAAATCCTGGGCCTCTTCCATTTGTGGAAGTCAGTTGTGAAATCACCTGAAAAGAGCTAATGTGTGCTTTCCCCAATTGGGAATCCTATCAGCCCTGTTCACAACTCCTTTTTTCTCTTTGGGGAAGGACAGGACACTTGCCAAGCAGCGTCATTTCTCTGATGCTTTTCCAGGAATGTGGTCAGGACAAATTGTTGCTGAGCTATGCTCACATGAGGAAAACATCCCTCTCCCCCAGTTAATGGGGAAGGTCTGAGTGCAAGCCAAGCAGAATTAATTCTGTTGAAACTCCTGCAGCTTAGGCTCAGGATGAAGACCATGCTTGAAGTTCAGTTGGGCCAGATGTATCTCATGCCTGCTGTACTCCTGTTTTATATGCAGAACCTTAGTAAATAACTGGTAAAATAAATCCAACAGCATATATTCCATTGTACCACTTCCTCTCCCACATTATACACAGAAGGAACCAATTCAGTGTACTTGGGGCAGAATCCAACTACAGAGTCAGCCCCTCCCTTCTTGCTCATCTCCAAAGGTTGCAACATTTTAAATCTATTCTGCTTTAGATTATTGTTTCTTAAGGAGAGGAAATGTAGGTTAAATAAATGTAGACATGGCATTTCAGAAATAAGGAAAAGACAAGCACCCTAAAGGCTAAGTGATATACAGATTCACAGCATGCACACTTATCATTCTTCCCAGCAAGACTGTAATTTTGGATGAGATAAAAAACCTAGCCCAGTGTTGTCCAAACTTGGCCACTTTAAGATGAGTGGGCCCATGCTGGCTGGAGAATTCTGGGAGTTGAAGTCCACTCATCTTAAAGTGGCCAAGTTTGGACAACGCTGACCTAGCCCATCCTGCTGTGAAAATACACCATGATAGAGCCTGTGTGTTGTGTCCCATTGATGCAGCAGTGAGAATTGCAGGTTCTTACCTACAGCAAAAGAGAGAGAATCTTCTACCTGTAAGATAAAAAGACATTTCAGTTGGGACATTTACATGAAAAATAAAGATATCTAGAGTTGGCACATTTCCATTCTTTTCCATTTAAAAATGGACCAATATCCAGAAATTAAGCAACAGGAGGTTTCCCATGTGGTCTTCTACTGTTTTAATTTCTGCATGCTATGATGTTGTTCAAGTTGTACTGCTGGATCACAAAACACAATAGAGATGCATCTATGATTTAACTATCATATGGTTGTACACCCAGAAAAAGCACTGTAACATGCACGTATGCAAGAAACCAAGCAACAGGAGGTTTCCCATGTGGTCTTCTACTGTTTTAATTTCTGCATGCTATGATGTTGTTCAAGTTGTACTGCTGGATCACAAAACACAATAGAGATGCATCTATTATAGAACTATCATATGGTTGTACACCCAGAAAAAGCACTGTAACATGCACGTATGCAAGAAACCAATCTTGTGTTCTTGCACAGACCAACCTTCCTAATCCTTTGCAATCTCAGATCTTTGGGCTTCCTGAGACTTCTGAGAATTGAAGTCCAGGCACCTAAAGAGTGCAAAGGTTTGGGAAAGCTGATCTAGGCAGCATTTCCTTCTTCATCTGAGAAGCCACATAGACATATACATGCACATACTCCAGAACCATTTGATTCCCATGATGGTTACCAGGCAAGGCAGAGTCCATCCTGGAAGGGGAACGATTTGCACCAGCTTCATCCAAGTGTTGGGAAAACTTTTCAAGAACTGATTAATTTCCTCCAGCAAGATAAGGAGCCATTCCCACTTCACAGCTTGACCTACATCTGTTGGCTGGAGGATGGGAAACACAATGGATTTCAGGAAGGACCCGTAGAAGGTACTGAGACAGCTCCAGACCATGTTTCGAATAGCCTGCTGGGAAGGCAACGATACATAGGATTGGAGAAACTAGACCAAGGACCTCATGTATATCTATCTGGCAATAATTGACCCTGCTAAGTAAGCAACAAAGAAACCGATATAAGATTTCAAAAGCACATCTGGCTCAATGTCAGAACCCAACACCTGATACCCTCAAGCAACTGCCAAGGGATCAGGATGCAGTAAGGATTACCAGTACTCATAGCATACCTGCTCTGACTATCTGCTTCTGTAATAGCAAACAACTATTTTAACAGTTAGGGATCTGGGGGTGGGAGCTGAATTTTTCAACCCCAACGACATAGGTCTGCTTGCTAAGAGCTTTGTCCAAATTGCAGCCAATCCTAAATAAAAAGGGAGGGGCAAACACAAATAACTAGTCTCCCAATCTTTATGTTGGTCTACATGACTTGAGCCCAATTTAACCTTCTAATCCTGTCCAAATGCTTGTCAACCCCAATGGTATATGTCAGCTCTCAGCCTTTGAGAAGACCTATCAACAAAGAAGTAATATCGGACAATATAATTCGGTATGGTCCAGGTTTTATTCACTGTTTAAAAATAGTAAAATATACTATTTTTA